AGGGCTGTAATGATGATGATGATGAATCTACTATTAACTACGGATCATTCTACCTATGTTTATTCTATTATAAAAAAACCAACCGCGCGAACACAGAGTAGCGCACATTTTTTGTTTGAAATAGCTATTCTAGTACGTAAGTACATATTACTTCAAAGTTCTCATCAAAAAAATCGAAACACCTTGCAAGTTTATGTTTTGTAAGGATTATGAGTTTTTTTAATTATTTACGAATAAATATCAAATGTCGCTTAATAGTGAGTTTTATGAGGTTTTCAAATTCTAATGTTATTGTTATAAATTCAAATTAAATTTTCATATGTTTCATGTTTTCTTGTTTAATAACTAGTGTTCCCTCCTCGAGCTCTTATCACCGCTTCCATCCGGTTTTTCATCGATCGGATTAGAGTTACCATGACATGCTGTGGGATGTTGTCCCATTCTTCCTGAATGGCATTTTTCAGCTGGTCAAGTGAGTCTGGGGCAGGATCTCTCGCTCGGATTTGCCTCCTTAGTTGATCCCAGAGATGTTCAATTGGATTCATGTCCGGGCTCCTTGCTGGCCATTCCATTATGGAGATACCGACTTCGGTAACGTAATCGTGTACGACGCTCGCGCTGTGGGCTCTGGCGTTATCGTGCATAAATGTGAACCCGTTGCCGATAAAGTGTGCATAGGGCATCACGTGAGGCTCTAGGCACTGTTCCACGTACCGATAACAGTTCAAAGCAGGTAGACGTGGCCCAGACACGAAGGCAAGCTCTGTCTTACCGTCGGCGCTGATTCTTCCCCAAACCGTCCACGAACCACCACCATAACTAACCATTTCTTCAATGCAGCATTGTGCAAAGCGTTCTCCATCTCTTCTGTAGACCTTGTTCCTTCCGTCGTTACCATAGAGCATGATTTTACATTCATCAGAGAAGAGAACTTTGCTCCATTGGAGGTATGACCAATTTAGGTGCTCGCATGGAAAGTCAAGGCGCGCTCTTCGATGATCTGCAGTTAACTTCGGTCCATTTGCTGGCTTGTGTGGTACCAGTCCACGTTCCTTCAACCTTCTTCTAATTGTAGAGCACTTACAGCGACCCTTCGTACAACTTGAAGCTGCTGCTGCAATTGAAATGCATTAAGGCGCCGGTTTCGTAAAGAAGTTGATACAATTAATCGATATTCTCTCAGAAGTGACCCGATTCCTGCCAGATCCAGAACGGTGCATGAACATACCAGTCTCTCGATAGCGGTTGTAGACTCTATGAACAGATGACAGGCTTAGATGCAACATTCGAGCCACAACACGCTAAGTCCAGAATCCAGCAATGCCACCACTTGGGCGGCTTCTGTGGGCGAAGTGTCCATATGTTTTAGGAAATAAAACTTTTTTCAGACGTCTTAAAGTCACAGTAAACAAATAAAAAACAAAAACATTGAAGATAAACGCAAATTTTTAGTTTTTAAACGTGAAATGGTCTCCAACTGTAGACGCACATGTGTCTCAAAATAGTGATACATTTAATTTAGAGGATAAACAAATAAAATTCTAATTTCGAATTTTGTTGTTTCTGGCCTATTTTCGTGAACTTATTTTCTATATCTTCCATAGCTTTTTCACTCTCTATATTTTTTTATTAATTTCGTGTGAAATTAACATCTGCTTTTATTTGGACTATATATTATGCATAGTTATATCTTCGACTGGGTTGCAAAGTTGACTTGTCACTGTCGGAGTATGACGAACTTAGCTGTAGATAGATGCTAGTTGGGGGAGAGATGCGCAAGCGTCGTGTCCCCACGCCCCCAATATGCCCCTTGTGTTTGTATTTATATTTCTTAAATTGTGTGTAAAATGTGATTATCAAATAAATGGTTCTTTCTTTCTTTCATTCATTCTATCACAGTAATTCACACACACGTCACAGCCCTTTCACTTTCCGTAATGATAATTAGAGGAACTAAGACGTACTCGTTATCACTTTCTATCCCGTAGCAGTGTCCTTGTCTATTCGTAACTAGCACACATCCACCTTTGCGAGCGATCCACGAGAAACTTGAGAATTAAGTTGAAGAATAAAGGTGTGCTGGCTGGCAAAGCCACAACCACATTTTTGATTTTACCTAACATCACTAAGTAAACCTGTGGCCGCTGAAGGTAAAGGGGAGATCTCCCGCCGAATAAGGTGCTGTGCCCGGGGAGCGGCCAACGCTCCGTGTGATAGTTCGGAGATGTTCAATATATACTGTTTATGATTCGGAATTTTGATAGCAGGATTTAGGCTTCTGTGTGTTTCGCTTGCGGCGCGACGACAGCGCCGCCACATCACCTCCCTGCTCAGACCGGAGATCGATAGTGCAGCCTCGTTGCCGACGAATGTGCAAATGCCAGTGGATTGCCTTGTAGTCTGCGGTGAGTCGAGGAGAAGGCAAGTAATCTGCGAGAGTGCCGTGAAGCAGAGGCGAGCAGTAAGGCTCAGAGCCGTGCCGAACACTGTATGGCGCAGAGAGTAGCTTGAAGGAACAGGAAGCATTATTATTACAGTGCTGAGATGAACCTTGTGAAGCTAGCTGGCTTGCAGGATATGAAACTGAGGTATCCGCTCGGGAGCGAATGGGTGGGGTATTCTATGACGATGATGAAGCTTGAAGTTTCAGAAGGTTGTTGGTTGCGTGTTCAGATCACGTCGGGTGGTCACCACGGTGGCCGAAGTAGGAAATAGGAAGTAGGTGATGTGGCGACGCTGTCGTCGCGCCGCAAGCGAAACACACAGAAGCCTAAATCACGCTATCAAAATTCCGAATCATAAACAGTATATATAGAACATCTCCGAACTATCACACCGAGTGTTGGCCGCTCCCCGGGCACAACACATTGCCCGGCGGGAGATCTCCCCTTTTCTTTCCACGGCCACAAACCCAAATACACCCATTGTTCGGGTTAGGGGATTACATGTTACAAATAGGGTGTGTTCCGTTATACACTGTGACCGCTGCGCTGTAAGATGTAACGTCAATACTGTGAAGCCATTCCTTTTTAGTCTGCTATACTGGTTACTGTTTAAAACGGAACGCAGTCCAGTATACTGTCAATCTCATTTTTCGACACTGTTTTCATATGAAAATATTTATCATGTACACGTTATCTGTTCAACAAGAAAAATAATGAATGTTGTTGCTTTTAAAACTTAATGTCAGAGTTTATTTGAATAACAATATTAGTTAATAATAATAACAATCATTCGCGGAAGTTGTTAAATATCTATAGCGCTGTTATGTTTGTTGACCACGTGATAAAAGCACTGGACGCACCTTACCTCGCAAGCGCCAGTGCTCACAGTACAAAAATGGCGGTAGGTAATTTATGACGTCATATATTTCCCTAGAGTACTGCAGCAGTATACTGGCAGTCCATAAAGGAACGCATTTTTCAGCAGTTTTCGCAATTTATATCGGAACACGGCCATAACACAATACCTTTAAGCAGTAGCAAATCACTTGTTATAAACGAATAAAAAAATCTTAAAAACATGTATGGTGCATAATCACTAATATATAAGTAATATCTCAATAATATGCCTAATGTTTAAGAGTTATTACATATATGAAGATAAATGAAACATTATCAAATAAAGTTATCATAGAATTGTAATTATGTCACAGATTACTTTAAGTTTGCTTATAAACTTTACCGCTATTCACAGATTGTTCAAACTTTTGTTGTTTGTTGCTTTACAAACTAAAAAAGTTGCAAAACAAATACAATAATGCAACAATGAAGGTCAATGTACAAAAATAAATTCGGGCACAATCAGATACGAGGGAAAAACAGATAGGGCGACAAACGAGCACACAGTCCACCTGATGGTAAGTGGTTGCTGTGGTCTATAGACATCTACATCTATCCTCGATTACGAATCAAAATGCAGATGCGTTGTCACCCGTGAGGACTAAGATGGAATGCTTCGTATCTGTGAGAGCGAGGTCCTTCCCCGGTCGAGCCAACCCATTTGTGCTACAACTACACCACTAATATAACTGCAGCATGGCTCTACCACGTTGTGGATTATTAAGGACAAAAAAGTAAAAAATAGTGTTAAAATTAAAAATTGTGAACAACCGACTTCAATATAAATAAAATGAGAATGTCATCTATGTATTCGAAGTCAATTATATACATATTATTAAGGATAACTCAAAAACTACTGGTCAGATCTTGATAAAATTTATATGGGACCACATGAGAAGCACCTGCTTTCATATGAAGAATCTTCAAAATCAGTTTGATGGAATCATCAAAATCTGACGTAACACAAAAAATACAGACAAATTGAGAACGTTCTCCTTTTTTGAAGTCGGTTGAAAAACAAGGATAATTTCCCAAAATTATAACTTTTTTGGTCGTGGAAAGAAAACCGGAGATCTCCCGCCAGGCAAGGTGTTCTGCATGGGGAGCAGCCAACGCTCCATTTGTTATTTCAGAGCTGTTCTAAAGATAGTTATAGATAAATATATAACTTCGCGGTAACTTAAGAACTTTAATAGCGCGATTTAGGCTTCGGTGTGATCTGGCGAGCCGACAGCGCTGCCACATCAAATTTTTGTTTCATTTGCCTTTTAGTTTCGTCTGTGATTTACCCAAATATATTCTATATATTTTATTGAAGATTGTGAACATTCAAAGGCCGCTAAGATAAAGGGTGCTATCCGTGTCAACAATGGTGGAGCGGCCTATCACCGCCCACGGCATGCCGAATACTGCTGAAAAGCTGATTTTGTTTACGAAAGGGCTATGCGCCATTGCCATGGTCTCATATTCTAGGATCAAAGTGAACGCATTCAGTCTTCTAAAAGCGTCCACCCCCTTCACTCTTGTCGGCGCGTCAGAGAAGACACTTTCCTCGAATTAGGTACTTCTATTTTTAATATTATAGAGCTTGTGCCCAACTTAATGACAATTTACAAGCTGTTACTTTCTGTTATTGTAAAATAATATTCAAATACTCACGTTGTCCCCCAGTATGAAATGAGCCTTAAAAGCCATTGAAGCTTCAGGTGCTAGATCTTTCATTGCATCCTCCATCTGTGCCTTATCCAACATGTCTCCATTCGCCTCTCCATTACACCTTAAGTCCATACTTGTGCCAGGGGATGTACCAAGTATTATAAACGAGTCATCATCGTTATTATTCACTTTCGTTGTCATCTTTCAACATATAACCTGAAATAAATAAAATCATTTTAAGTGTCAATTGAAATTTAAGGAGAAAAATCCATATCTTGCAATGTGATTCTATGCATTGGCGTCGTAAGAGAGTCTGCTACCCTATATCATCCCATGGGTGTTGCAAGAGACAAGAGAAGAAATTCAAGCTGCTGCTCCTCTCCTGATAACAACCCAAAATAATAAAAAAATTTAGTTACCAACTCGTCTGCCAAGCTTGAAAACTATGAAAAACGTCCCCTTTTTGGCAATCTCTGGGGGAGGCCTATGTATGTACTATATGTCTTCTAACCTAACCCAAATGATTTCTGAGTGTAAAGCAATAATAATCATTTCTTTACTATTTATAAACATAATTTATTAAGGGAGTATATACCACAAAGAATCTGTAATGTTGGGAAGTTCATTGAATAAATAACACTTCTAGTTCTAGTGGTCTTGACTGCAGATTTAATGCTATGAATGTCTCTTAATCTATCATACGTATTAAATATTAATATTATAGCGCGGCTAAGTTGACATCTGGCACTAGCGCCATCTAGTGTGGGGTAACGGAGCGAGGGGAGAGCTTTCCAGAAAATGACATCACTAATCTTTCAACCGACAGCGCCATCTGTTGTCGAAAGGAAGAACTAAGCTTCTGGAAGCTGACTCTCGAACTTTCGGCGCTTTGTCGATTGGTGCGCGTATTTACTTGAATGTTCTGGATGATTCGGTACTAATGTGTATTTATAGGCGCTGCAAGGTGCGATCGGGGAAGTATTGAAGTTGGCGAGACAAGCGAAGCTTCAGAGCGGAATAAAGTGAATCAGTGTGATTAATTATTAGTGTTTTTAACTTTAATTAGTGTAAAGTGAATTAAAGTGTTAATTTAGGTAATTCTATCGGCAATTTTTATTGTCACGAACCTCAAGCTCGTAACAATATATATATGAGCATACACTACACGCCCATCGGAAAAAAGGAAAAAAATTTAATTACAAAAAAAATTATGTAACACAACTTGGTGTAAAAAATCAAGAAAAGGTGTATATTTTTTTTTAAATATTAAAATTCTTATACTATAACATACTTATAACATAATGAAAAATATTGTAAATGCTGTAATTTTTAAATAATTTTATTTGTATACATAACAATAACAAGAATTTCATTATTTAATATATATGGTCCACTGCGTTTTTATGTATTATATTTAATTGGATTTGTATAATAATCATACTTCGTTTTGCTACTTTCTTTTTTAAATATTAAATTATTTCTTAATTTCTTTTCATTTCAATGAATTTATTATATTCCAATTAATGCTTTATTACTCTTTATTTGTTTACTTTCTATTTCTTTATTTAAAATTATTAAACAATCATCAAATGCCTTACGTAATTTTATTGATTCTTTATGTTTTTGTTGCATAATACTTTTAGTTTGCCTATCATAACTGAATTTAACTAAAATATTTTTTAATTTGCTTTTTCTTATATAACCCTTAATTCACTAGACATGAAAATACAGTTTAAAAATATAGTTATACAGTTCAAAAAATATACTATAAGGTGTATATTTATGAACATATTTTCAATTTGATTATTTACTTAAACTATAACATATTTTTCAATTTAAAATTAATGTCCATATTTTCAATTTGGGATATGGCATACATATTTCATCACGGTTGAAACAAATTCTGTCCTTTGATCAGATATTATTTGTTGAGTATAGTATTATATCTCAAAATAAAATGATTAATAAAAGCCGATGCCACTGAAATAACATCCTTATTTTTAAGTATATAAGCTTCAACATACTTACTTAAATCACACTGTATTTTGAGTATATAAACATTACTATCACTACCCTTACACAAGAGCCCTACTAAATCTAGATAAACTCTATCAAAAGCAGGATATCCCATATTGATTATAACCATTGGTTCTTTTATATATTTAAGTGTTTATGTCACTAAGACTTGTCACATCTATCACTAACCCCTGCCAAAATAATCTTTTCTTCATATTGTTTATCATTTGCTTTATATGGGCGTGACGCAATAAATGATAGTCCTTAAATATTACATGTCTTGTCTTATGACAGTCTTTATGCAACATAGTCATGATCATTAACATAACAACAGGGATCAAAATACAACTTACAATTCCAGCTGCGTAAGAGATTTGTGACACCTTTGTTTCAATTTCTAAGTACATTCATGGGAATGTTTTTTGATTATGTTGTTTATTAATGGTACCTATTTGTAACAATGCATTACAATGATAATTTGAATAAAATTAACTTATCTTGCGTCATAGTTTATACCTATACATATAGATTGTTACATTTAATTTCCATAATATTTTTACAAAGGTACTTTACCAAATATTTATTATTTAATTTATTTATAATTTCGAAAACTCTAAGGAATATGTTTAGCTTGAGACAGAAATTTATATAAAAAATATACTAATGTATAAACATAATATATATTTATATAAATTATATAAATGCACCTAATGTACACAGCTAAAGTTTTTTTCAACATTTTTTCAACAACAAAATCTTTATTAACAATAGAAGAGTTGTATTTTAAGCCGATAACATAATTTTTAGGTTTTGTTGTCTTTTATAAAGAAAAAGAAATACTATTACATTATTAAATTTATAAGTCTAAAGTATATTGATACATTTACGACTTGATTTGACATCCTTGTCACACACAAAATTATGTGAGCTATCCAGCTTTCAGAGTTTAATTGCATTCATTTTTTCATGTTCAACCAATTTATAGATTATAATAGTTTTTTATTATCTTCTTGAAAACAGTGCATTAGCTTTTAATGCTAATGGTATTGTTATAATCGGGGACTAAACCTTTATCAAATACAACACCTAACTCGACAAAACTTCTGCCATACTATTGTAAATCTAACTCTAGACCAATGATGCAGCACAGCCTAACAGTTGGTTTCATTTATTGTTTCGGGTGTAAAAAAAATATCAAAATAAAAATATCATCAATAATAATCATATTTGGGCATCTATCTGCCACACATTTCAATGAAACTTCAATATTATATTAATATGTGAGACAATAAAATGTAAGGCAATGTGCAACCAACCAGACGACACAGCTATTGATGGGTAAAAATACCACATTCCTCCTTATATATTGTTAGACGAAGGACGTGATTATTTTGTGTAATGGTAAAGTAATTTCGAGTGTTTACTAAATTAGATTAGATTATTAGGTACAAAAATTTAATTGCTCTTTCCAGCAGACCAGAACAATAATAATAAATATTTTCTTATCATTTTTTTTAACTTTATGTGTCACCATGTTACATTCTATGATTCAGTATTGGTACATTTAAAAATAATACATATCTACGTTTAATAATAAAATTCAATAGTGAAGCATTTCACAATTTTTTTAAGCAATGTTAATCATTTTAACTTAAATTTCAAAGTATAAAAATAAGAATATTTAACTTATTTAAAAGCTGAACACAACTTGTATATTGTCAATTGAGCAACAATATTGCTATACAACTTTAAAATTCAGAGCACTGAAACTGATACATATGGTAAAAAACAAATCTTTTGAACAATAGTCAATATGAGAAAGTACCCAATGTTTGGGGTACTTAATTATTTTTTTATTTATTTAAACTTCATATTCACAAGTGGTATATAGGTGGACTTAATGCCTAAGGCATTCTCTCCCAGTCTACCTTGGGATGATGCAGAGATAGAATGAAGTAGGTGTAATAAAAAGTTAATATGCGAATACTAAAATAAAATAACAAAATAAATTGTAATACATGGAAATAAAATACATAAGATATAAATGGTACATTGCAAAAAATAGATAAAATTAATTATAATAAAATGAAAAATAAAATAACTAAGATAATAAAAATGTATAATACATAAGTACATATTATAATGTCAGATGTATATAAACTCATAAAGATATACAAATATACATGTTATCAAATAAATTTACAAAAATATATTAATATTCATACACATATATTTATTATAATAATATACATAATAACAATAAGAATATTTTATATATATATATATATATATATATATATATATATATATATATATAATTATAATAAACTTTTACTATGATGATTCTGCCAATTTATTAAGTAAGTGTTCCCGAACCTTCATCTTGAATATGCGTACGAGATGAGAGGGAGTGCGTTCCAAAGGAGAATAGATTGAATGTGGAAAGAAGAATGAACAAGTCCAGAGGTATGGGAGGGACATAGGAGAAGAAGGTTGTTCGTAGAGCGGAGGTCTCTCTCATGACTAGCACTAAGCAACTGAAAGTAAGGAGATAAGTAGGAAGGGGAAGTCGGAGACATCAGGATAGAATAAACGGTGGTGAGTGCACGCAAACAACGCCGTTGACGAATAGATAACCATTTTAATTGAGATCGATACGTGGATACATGGTCATACTTTCAAAGATTGAAAATGAATCGAATGCAGTTATTCAGAAGACGGTCATATTTGTTGAGAAGATCTGCATTCAGGTCGAAATAACACACATCACCATAGTCGATTAGGGGAAAAATTAAACTCTGCACAAGCATTGTCTTAATTTCAGATGGTAGAAAATTTTTTAGGCGATAGAGAGAATGCAGGGTACCAGTGACTTTCTGGCTAACGGTCGTTGTTTGGGCTTTCCAACTCAAAGTAGAATTACAATTAATAAACCTAGATCCTTTACAGTGGAACACAATTGAATCTCAGTACTATAAAAAAGATAGGAGGCAGAGCTACTGTTTTCAATCTCTGGAACATCGGACGGCTACTAATTATTATGGCCTGACACTTCGAAGGGTTGACCATTAGGCCAAACCTGTCAGACCAGTTCTTAATGTACTCAAGGTCCCTGT